TATTTCCGCATCATTTTTTGCAAACTGCAATGAAAAGATCGCCGCAACCCGCCGGACGCGCGTTACGAACGCAACGAAAATTTGTCGCACTAGCCTGGTCGCGCGTTACGCCGCACCCCCCTGCGTTACGCGGCAACATAATATTGCCAGTATACGGTAGTTCTCCTCACATGCTGCAGCTACAGCAGCGAATTCCTCGCGGTTCTCCTCAGCATTGCGCCGCATCGTGAACTGCGCGGAGCGTGGCGATGACACTGCGCCAAAGATCATGACTTCCATGATGTACGTGTCAGGCGGGCCAGTCTCACCAGGTTGTCGCCACAGGAAGCGCTCAGCTGGCTGGTCTTCTAGGCGTATCCGATCTTGATGAAACATCTCTTTGATGTCAGCCGCAAAGGCAATAGCATGTTGGCGGAACTTCATCAGGACACCCACGAGCCGGTTCAGCAAATCTGGGCCTGGGGGCAGTGCGTCATTTAGCTTGGGGTGATCTGACTTCCAGAGGAGGCCTGTATCATACCGGTCACCAACGTGAACCGTGATGTCCTCGGTTGTACTGCTGGTTATGACGCCACTCTGGAGTCATCTAAATGAGGCCATCGACTCGCCAGCCCTCTGCCGTCCATTGACTGCGAATGCAACTTGAGGTCCTTGGCTGTTCTCACATCATCTATTTGATGCTGGGTGCCATCGCTGCCATTGACCAATACAGAGACTCTGCATGACGAGTTGTCCGTGTGCGTCGTCGAATTCGTTCATGCCATATGCAGGGGATCCGACTGTCCAACAGCACCTATATTATCATCTAATGCCTTGTTCGTTAGCTTGACAGTTGAGGCTTTGTCCAGCAGAGCAAGTGTCTCCACACAGCCCTTTGGGCCACTAACCGTCACTGGCAACACTCTCAGCAACACTAGGGTTGTACCAGGAATACTGGTGGGCCCACAGGTGTCGACTGGCTTCTCTGCGGCCTTGCCTTTGTGCAGGAGCTCATGATGGTGGTACTTGCAGTCAGGCTCACTGCACTGCTTTCTGCTGCCACACTCCCTGGTAGCTTGTCCACTGGCCAGGCAAGAAAAACAAAGACGGTGACGTTTGACCAGCTCAAAACGGGCTTTCTGGCCAACCTTCTTGAATGCTGAACACTCGCTGAGGGAATGCTGCACTTGTTTGCAGCAAAGGCAGGCTGACTGAGTTTTACTGGTTGCACTTGCTGGTGCTGTCGCTGCTGCTGTGCTGTATTGTCGAAACTTCCTGGTGACTGTACACCCGCTGCGTCTTGTCGGTTGGGGTACGGGGCAGATCCACGACGCGCACAGCTGCTTCAGCCTTGTCCGCCAGCCACATAGAATACACTCCCAAGCTGATGTCATGGCTACCCTGACGCACAAGTACCTCTCCCCACTGCAGTTGCAGGGATGTTGGCAACCTACCAACAAGCTCTTGACGTAGCTGAGGGTTGTACATGTGACCTTCACTTCGAAGGTGCTCCATGATAGTTACTAGAGTCGTCACAGCAGTGGACAGGTTGATAAGACTATCAAAGTCTCCTGGCTTGACCTGTCCAATGGCCTTGGCTTTCCCGATCATGGCAGCAATCACAGCATCCGGTCGACCAAACCGGCTTTCCAGGACCTGGAGTACAGTCGGCAGGTTCTCCCGCACGGTGAGCATCGCTCCAACGGCAGCCTTGGCTGGGCCTTTTAGGCAACGTCGCAGACGAGTTACGTTTTCCGATGGCGAAAACCCACACTCGTCTGACGTCCTCTGGTAGTAGTAGTATTGGCATATCCGCGGCAAGCCGCTTATGTACAACGGCATGGGAGAGGATAACAAAAAATGAAAATATATTGTTGGGGAAATCCCCGCTATTATCGAATATTCAACAATGATGGGTGTGGGGTTATACCAAATTCTCATAATGTGGAAGTACGTTATTACTGTTGAAAGCACTAGGTGATCTGCACTCCAAAATGTGACCTGTGCGATTATATTGTTAAATGATTGCCTGTTCCGAGCCACCAAACGCAGTGTCTCCAGGTCCTTCAGACTCTGGAGACGCATGGACATTGCCTTGGCTAATTCGTTGTCTATCACCACTGGTAGGGTGATGCGCGGGCGTCCTAGCCAGCCCTGATTCTGTTGCTGGAAATACGCTGTCATGCTCACTTGCCCTGGAGTTGCTTCAGGGAGGCGTAGAATATGACCAAACAGTTTCCACTGTGCTCTTCTGCTTAGTACGGATATTGGCTCAGCATTGCAGTAGGTATATAGGTCTGTGTTGGAGATAATATCCTGGTAAGATATCCCTAATAGATGGCGGAGCTGCTTTCTGTGGAACGCATCCATCGCTGTAGCATCCCGGGATGAAAGCACCCACACGCCACAGTTGTTGGTCAAAATAGATAGCACAAATGCATCAAACAACCTCAGGCGGGTTGCTTCAGAGATAACTTGTCTCCGCATCCACAGGTTGACAAGTGTGTTGAAAGCAGCTGGTAGGTAGAGGCGAATATGGGCCACTCCTTGGAGTTGCCAGAGAATGCCAGCAAGTCACGACCAACTGTCTGTTGGATTAGAAACTTCTGCATGCCGTTTGCTGTTTGCGCTTGGTGCAGGCCTCCAGCCTCAGGACTCTTCTGAGCTGGCTTTGTTGCTGTTGTCCCTGCCGCAAGTGTGGCGTGTGCAGTGCCAGGTTTCTGGGTCTCTACCCAATGCCTAGTAGCTGTCGAGGCGGACTTTCCTGGAAGTTTACACACTGTTTCTAATCGTGGCTGAGATGAGCTTACTTCTACTTTATTCTCCTGGCCAGAGCTGATCAACGACGCTGCTGATCGGGTAGTCGACGGTGCCAACAACGGCCTCAAATGCTGAGTCGGCGCACTGGATGCAGGACGAGACGATCGTCGCGAACGAGAGGACGAGGTGTTTTCGATTTGGGCATGGCGCGCCTCCAACTCCAATTGAAGCAACACCTCTGCCTATACAGTCGATGTTGCGCATCCGCCTCCTCAATTGCCATCAAACGCCGTGCTATCTCCAAATTGGCCTCCGCTTTTTGCCGTTTTACGGAGGAGGACGATCTCATCGATGGGGCGAGTGAGGCAGGGGATGCTGGCAACTCCAGCTCAGCAGCCTGCTTGGCGACATCGGCCATATCCGTTTCTCTCTTCCCCCTACGATTTCGCAGCAACATTGCTGTGTTTCTGTGATCTGAAGACTGTATATTTCTTTAGAACTGCTCATCCGGCTCGAAGAACCATGTTGCGGCCCTGTGGCCATGGCAGACAAGATTTCCTTCGAACCATTACTTGTTCTTTACAAAGTGGAATAAAACTGAAACTCAAAAAAGAGTTCTGAAAAGCAAAGAGCGACACGCGTACATGTAGCATCAAACAGAAAAGCTGGCAACGCAAAAGGAAACATGCAGCCAAAAAAGATGCCTAGCGCTGGCGTACATCGTAGAGGTCACTGCGCATCCGGTGATGCCTCGCCGAATGTCGTTATAAGCGAAGCTGACTGTATATTGGAATGTTTTGCTAGTATACCTTAGTGCCGTATCATCAGGTGATATACAGGTAACATCAAAATGAACATAAACAATGGATTTAAAACTACATCAGAGAGGTGATAGAAACAGCGCAAGGGAGGTGGGAGGTGAGCCAAAACAACAGCGCAAGGGAGGTGGGAGGTGAGCCAAAACAACAGCGCAAGGGAGGTGGGAGGTGAGCCAAAACAACAGCGCAAGGGAGGTGGGAGGTGAGCCAAAACAACAGCGCAAGGGAGGTGGGAGGTGAGCCAAAACAACAGCGCAAGGGAGGTGGGAGGTGAGCCAAAACAACAGCGCAAGGGAGGTGGGAGGTGAGCCAAAACAACAGCCCAAGGGAGGTGGGAGGTGAGCCAAAACAACAGCGCAAGGGAGGTGGGAGGTGAGCCAATACAACAGCGCAAGGGAGGTGGGAGGTGAGCCAAAACAACAGCGCAAGGGAGGTGGGAGGTGAGCCAAAACAACAGCGCAAGGGAGGTGGGAGGTGAGCCAAAACAACAGCGCAAGGGAGGTGGGAGGTGAGCCAAAACAACAGCGCAAGGGAGGTGGGAGGTGAGCCAAAAAAACAGCGCAAGGGAGGTGGGAGGTGAGCCAAAACAACAGCGCAAGGGAGGTGGGAGGTGAGCCAAAACAACAGCGCAAGGGAGGTGGGAGGTGAGCCAAAACAACAGCGCAAGGGAGGTGGGAGGTGAGCCAAAACAACAGCGCAAGGGAGGTGGGAGGTGAGCCAAAACAACAGCGCAAGGGAGGTGGGAGGTGAGCCAAAACAGCAGCGCAAGGGAGGTGGGAGGTGAGCCAAAACAACAGCGCAAGGGAGGTGGGAGATGAGCCAAAACAACAGCGCAAGGGAGGTGGGAGGTGAGCCAAAACAACAGCGCAAGGGAGGTGGGAGGTGAGCCAAAACAACAGCGCAAGGGAGGTGGGAGGTGAGCCAAAACAACAGCGCAAGGGAGGTGGGAGGTGAGCCAAAACAACAGCGCAAGGGAGGTGGGAGGTGAGCCAAAACAACAGCGCAAGGGAGGTGGGAGGTGAGCCAAAACAACAGCGCAAGGGAGGTGGGAGGTGAGCCAAAACAACAGCGCAAGGGAGGTGGGAGGTGAGCCAAAACAACAGCGCAAGGGAGGTGGGAGGTGAGCCAAAACAACAGCGCAAGGGAGGTGGGAGGTGAGCCAAAACAACAGCGCAAGGGAGGTGGGAGGTGAGCCAAAACAACAGCGCAAGGGAGGTGGGAGGTGAGCCAAAACAACAGCGCAAGGGAGGTGGGAGGTGAGCCAAAACAACAGCGCAAGGGTTCATGTTCATTGTGATGTTACCTGTATATCACCATGCACGATTAGGTTGTTAGGTTGGCCGTCAACAACACGTTAGTTTTGTCCATTTGTTGTCTGTTTTTCTCTTGCACTGTACTTCATGCATGCTCGGCTTACTCACGTGACTTGCACCTTGCACTTACCTTCACAAGCTAGACCAGCCTGGCAGACACGCAGATGGGTAAGGACGTCTTTCATCATCTTGCAGTTCGGTATCCCGCAGATGGGCCGGTTGCCAGCAGTCTCACGAAGCTGGCACGTCTTTGCGTGCACAATGAGGAGGAGATGTTCCCTAATTTGGATCATTTTCTCCAGAGAAATTGAAGAAGACATTTTGAACGGAGTGCTGCGTTTGCTGTAGAATGAAATTGAAAGTCAATCCAGTGTAATTCCAACAGAAGAGAAATGCAAATTGAAAAGAGGGGGAAGAAAGAGACTATACACATTCAAAATTATATTCTATGTGTATAGTTAGCACCTTTGAGAACAGGAAACTGCAGACGGGCAAATTTCAGCGCAAGGAAGGAGGGAGAGAAAACTGCATTCCTTCCATCGCGTTTCTAAACGAATATCAATCGCATACTATTAGAATATTCGTTGCAGCCCTAAGTTACAGTAGTTCATGGGATGAATGCACTGGAAATACTACAAACGTGTGATCTTACCTGTACACCACTGCGTCTGACCTAAGATCAATGCACAAGAGAATACAACAGAGCAGGAAAACGCGACCAGCAAATGCGACCTGAACACAGCAAAGTGACAGCACCGACCCAGAGTCGCGTGTTATACTACGTGTAATAGCAGGGATTCGCGGAGGAAAGTGGCAGGCGGAATATAGCTAGCGCGGAGATTCCGCGCAATCACGGGCCAAGGCTCAACGGGACACCCTAGCCTCCACGACAGCCAGGGAGGCACAGTCATCCATTGGAGGCTGCCAAACTCGGCGAGCCCCACGCAGACACATGACACTGGAACGAAGCAGGGCAAAAGACAGCCTGCAGGGGAGGTGAGCAATTAGCACAGAATACGCATCCCTCCCACGTAGCGACTGTAGGTGTGCAATCAGGCTCACCAGTGCAGCCTACACCTAGTACATGTACCCGGTGGTGACAACACAAAACAGGGTGGAGGATCAGCTGTTGAAAACAGTGCTCCACCTTTGGACTTTAGAGTGTAGTAGTATAATGACTACAAGACAGTCAAGTGTGTACCACGCGTCCCAGACAATCAAAGTCTTTTAGAGGATCGGTCATCACAGCCACATGGTATGGACAGTCTACACTATAGCACGTGGCAAGTAATCGGCAGTATAGTACACGTCAGGTCATTATATCCTCACAAGTAATCGGCAGGACACGTCAGGTCTTTATATCGTCACAAGTACTACATCAGTTTGAAACCCTTTAGAAAGGCAGCGACAATCGACGAAACTAATCGACAATCGACGAAACTAATCGACAATCGACGAAACTAATGATTAGTTTCGTCGATTTTCGCTGCCTTTCTAAAGGGTTTCAAACTGATGTGAGGACCTATAGCACGTGGCAAGTAATCGTCAGTACACGTCAGGTCATTATATGCTCACAAGTACTACATCAGTTTGAAACCCTTTAGAAAGGCAAGGACAATCGACGAAACTAATTATTAGTTTCGTCGATTGTCGCTGCCTTTCTAAAGGGTTTCAAACTGATGTGAGGACCTAGCAAAAGATTGTAGCGGAATTATTGTCAGAAGAGAAAAAGGTTCTGGTGGCCATTAGTGAGGTTTCGCTCTACGGAATTACGTATGAAAATGACGTAGGAACTGTACGGAATTTTCATACGTAAAAATCAGAGCTGCTGGGTTTCGTTCTACGTGATTTCTCCACGACTGCTAAACATGCGTTGTTGCTTTGGACACGCGTTGGCTGCATGCGTCCACCGCATGCACCATGAACCGAAACCGCGTTTTCCATTTTATTTTTGCACGTCACTGGTGTACGGTGTGTGTACCTTGTGTTTCGCGCGGCTTGAACGTTGCCATGGACAAATGGGGAAAATGCGAAAAAATATTTCAAAAAGTCCTACGGAGGACCCAACGTAGGAAAGAGTTTTCCTTCGAAAATCCGTAGAGAGATTTACATAATTGTTAGATTGACAGCATAAAACAAGGAGGAGGACACTGTGTTCGAAAACAGTGACCTTACTACAACCTTCCGCGGTTGGCAGAGTCCCGGTCCCTGCGGACCATTTGAACCATATGGGTATCGCACTCGGTTCTGACCCTCGTTATGCTAGGGGGTTAGGAGACTACTCCTGATGTCGTCTTCGCTCTTTTTTTACTTGTATAAAACTTCTCTTTCTTCTTCTTTTTCTTTCCAACTTCTGCCCATGGCGTCCTTGTCTCAGCTCGTCAGCTGTAAACAGTTTTTGTCATCACCATGACACTGCCGCGAGAAGGTGCTCTCTGTAGACGGGGTTGGTGATGTCCCGACGTGGCCGTGGGTAGGCCTTCACCACGTCGGAACACCCCGGCTACACGTTGGTCACGTCAACTACTTATGTTTGTAAATCACTTCGTTGTTGATCTTATTGTTTCCTAAAAACACTTGAGGGAATTGAGAGTTTTTCTTTTTACACGTTTGGGTACACACGTTGGATGCATTGACGGAAGAGCTAGATACTAACATGTATGTTCAATATTTTGTCGCTGAATTCTTTATGAACCTGGAAACTACATTTTAAGCAATGTAATTTTTTATGTGTATATCATAAGAATTTAAAGGTGAGGAAGAAAGCTCTTCTTACGTCTTACCCCTGTTATTAAGTCATGGCGAATGAAGGAGACGCTGAGGTTGTCAGTTGAGGTAGCGATCCATCGTCAATACATTTCTTAACTTTTTTTCAAGAAAACTACCTGGAAGGACTGCACTCAATGCATTCAGCTACTACTAGTACTAGTAGTTTCAGAAGAGCTACCTGGAAGGACTGCACCCAATGCATCCAGTGCAGCTACTAATAATTTTTAATTTTAAATTATTATGTGTGTTGTGCAACTGCGTGCGTTTGGTCTTTACAAGCAAGCGTGGTTAGCTTATCAAGATTGGGAAAGGTGAGTGACGCAGAGTTTAAACTGGATATATACGTACATAGTGAGTAACTGGTCTTAAATGTAGATCACATAGTAATGTTGTGCGGTACATGACACTCAAGGCTGCTAGCTTCACTCTCATAATTATTATGTGCAACATCACTGTATGCTCAAGTAATCTAGTCAATGGACTGTAACGATGTCATCTGGGTTGGCGTGTAGGTAGGTAGGTACATTTTTATTTGAATTCGCAGAACCAAACGGGCGGTGTCGCCCAATTACATGGAAGCGAATGGAAACAGTAAAATATTGTAGGAAATAGCCTAACATGATAGCAGGGTGTAGTACAAAGCAAAGAACGCTCAGTCAATGAATAACGTTAACGTTAGAATACAACAACGGGGAGGCGGTAAACAGCACATGACTGGTACTGTGGAGTACCGCAAACGTTCAAAGGTTCCTGTAGTGTTCAGTAGTGGGTGCTACTGCTAGCAAGACAGAACGAGAGGCAGGCTTGTTTGAACTGGTGGTACTGGGTAATACCACGCACGTCGGATGGCAGGGTGTTCCATAAAATGGACCCGCGAGCCGTTGGACGGTCGTGGCCGGCTTTGGAGGCAGATTTGGGCACTCAAAGGCCCAATCTGCGTTGCGCGCGCGTTGTTCGAGTACTGGGGCGCTCCAGAACTGCAGAAGGGCTTGCAGTGCATTGTTTGCCCGACCATTCGAGCAACGCCTGATCATAATACGGGTCTTTTGCTTGTGAAGCTCTTCGATGCCATACAGCTGCAGACGAGCAAGCAGAGGTTGGGCGCTTCTGCGAGGTGGCAGGCCGAACACGGCGCGTGCCGCACGGTTTTGCTGAACCTGAAGGCGGGACCGCTGGTCTTGTTGAAGGCACCCAGAGAACGCCACGGACCCGTAGAGCAAATCTGGCATCACAACGGATTTCACGTACTGCTCTCTGGACTTTCTTGTAACTAATGTAAGACAAGGGCGGGCTCTCCAGAGTGCTCCCACCTTCTGCGAGGCCTTCTTCACAGCATTGTTAATGTGTTCGTCAAATCGAACGTGCTCGTCTATCGTGATGCCCAGGTACTTCGCATGGGGAACTGCTGGTAGCGAGTTTCCACGCCATTTGACAGTAATGTCTTGGCCGGAAATTCGAAGGACATGGCTTTTGCTAGTGTTCAGGATTAGATTCCGTTCCTGGAGGTGGTTAGCAATCTCGGTTGTAGACGTTGTGAGAACTCGCGATACTTCATGGCAATCAGGGTGGCTGAATGTGAGAGCAAAATCGTATGTATGTAGTTACTTGGCCAAGTGGTGACAAACAAAAGTCGCGTCACCTGCACATGTGTTTCCAGTGGCAGCAGCATGCATGCAGTGAACACAGTTGCAGCATCATTTTGACTGAGGAGCGCGTGAGCGACACTACTAAAATATTTATTTCAAATAAACTGCTACTTGTCGCCGCGCCGAGTTTGTAATTTTCGCTTTGTAGAGAAGATGATGTTGCTGTTTTTTTTGTTTTTTTTGTTTTTTTGGTTTCCCGTTCTCGGGGCCTTCTATTCGGTACTCTTTGTAGTTGTACTTCTGTACTGTTGAGCTATCCGAATTCAAATAAACATTAAAAAAAAAGGAGAAGCCGTAGCTTATTTTTTGCTTGGCCACTGCTGTCCCTGTACTGTCGTTTGTCTTTACATGTAGTCGCCGGCCAAGAAGTAATGATGGGTGTCTCTGTTATTTCTATCGCCGCGATCGCTGATTTCTTTTAGTTCTGAGACGAACCAACTCTGGGCTGGTTTCCTTGTCCAGCGGCAAGCGAGAATCCAACTCCTATTTCTCAGGTGCTGGTGGACACTCAGCAGGAAAACACTGCACGATGGCTTGAGAGCGAAGGAAAACCTTCTTGAAGTAAAACAAAATTAGGGGGCGTTCGAATGGTCTTCATCAACTGTTCAAACAAAATTTATAAAGAGATTAATTGAAGTGCCCCATTAGAACGGTTTCTAACGAACGGTTTCTATCATTTTTAGAGTTTTTCAGTGGAATTGTCATGGCGGTGATTTTTTATTTTATTTTTATTTTTACTGAATACCACAGTACCATCAGATGCTGCACAGCGGGGGCGGTGGCATATTGGATGGAAGTGGGGGCGGGGCAAAAGTAACTCCTCCGACCAAAGGTCTCGGAATCATCGTTACTCCTGTGCGCCGATACATAGGAGAAAAGAAACATGTGCATCCAAGAGGGGAGCACCGGCTTTGCAAACGATAATGGGGAGAATTCGAGATTGGGATAGGACAAAACAATAGTAAAAGCAGTGCACCGTAGGAAGATGGAGTGAACTGATAATCGGATTTTAAGGCTGAGCGAAGGGGATCAAAGAGGGGTAGAAGGGAGCTGGAGTGCGGTCAGTATAATTAGGCTGGTGTGTTGGCAGAGGTCATAGCCTGTCTGTGGCCCACTCCCACTTGCTGCGCCGCAAGTGGTCGTAGACGTTTTTCTTGAACGTGTGCATGCCTCTGCGAGAAGGGGGAGACTGCAGAAGGGTAGGTGGGAGCTGATTCCACGTTGCGATGAGGGAGTGGGGAAATGAGCGGAGCGTGTTGTTTCGTGCCTGAGGAGGAAGGATACTGGTGAGTTGCGATGGATGATGTGTTGCAGATCTGGTTGTCTCACGAGTAGGCATGCGGTGTTGCGGTGCGGCTGCTGATGGTGGCAGAATGGCTTTCACCATTTCCGGACCCTCGACAAAGTGCAGCTTGTACAGAAAGCAGAGCCCTGCTACGGTACGGCGAATGTCGAGGCTCGGGAGGTATGATCCATCTCCAATTATGTGCAGGGCACGGCGCTGGATGGCAGCGAGGCGGGCCAAGGTGGTGGGGGCTGCGCTCATCCACACCAGCATGCCATACTCTAGCACAGGGCGGACAAAGCCACGGTACACGATTGCCCGGTGCTTTGGGTCTAGCACAGCCGATGCCTTACGGAGGAAGCCGAGCCGCTGGGCTCCGCGTACTGCAAGCTGTCGGATACGGCTGCGGAATGCCAGCTGCCTGTCGAAGGTGACGCCAAGAAGCTTGAGCTCCTCTACTTCTGGCACGACTGCTCCTTGGAAGCGTATTGCGTTCGGGGGGGGGGGGGGGGGGGGTTGGCGAGCGGTGGTGGCTGATGGTCAATGCCTGCGACTTTGTGGGCTCGAACTTGATCCTCCACCTGCTTCCCCATGCTGCCAGTGAGTCTACTGCCTGCTGCAGGATTGCTGTCTCTTCTGGCAGTCTGAGTCGGACGGTGATGCACTTGTAGAGAGTTGTGTCGTCGGCGTATACAGCCAGCTTCGCCCCATCAGGCAGGTGGTCTTCTGCGTCGTTGACGTACAGAAGGAAGAGTGTGGGGCCGAGGATGCTGCCCTGTGGCACGCAAGATTGGATTCGGTGGGTCGGTGAAGACTGGCCACCTATGACGACACGGATATAGCGGTCTGTCAGTTAACTCCGGAGCCAGGCAAGGAGGAGGCCACTTATGCCGCACCGCTAAGTTGTGGAGAACGCCGTTGTGCGAGACCTTGTCGAAGGCCCCGGCAATATCTACTGCGAGTACCCTGACGAGGCCTCCACTGGCAGCTGCAAGGCTCCACTCATGCTAAAGAGCAATCAGCAGATCAGAGGTTCCCAGTCAAGTGCGAAAGCCAAACTGCCTGTGAGAAAGGATGTCATTCTTCTTCAGGAAGTTGGACAGGCTGCGGTTCACGATGGACTCCATACACTTAGACATTATGGGCAGTAGTGATATCGGTCGGTAGTTTCTGGGGTTCGACTTGGGGCCTTTCTTGTGTACCGGTACGACGTTGGGCAACTTTCCACATGGCAGGTTGATGACCACTGCAGAAGCACAGGGTAAACAGCTTGGATAGGGGCAGGGCCAGAGAGTCGGCACATTTTCTCAGCACTCTAGCAGTTACTGCATCAGGCCCTGTGGCTTTACTTGGGTTCAGGGCTCGGAGTGTCCGGCGTACGGTGGCTTGGCGGAAGTGGACTGTTGCAAGCGTATTTGCGGTGCGCTGGCGGACATGCGGGAACGGCCCCGACTGTTCCGCGAAGTCATCGTCTAGGCTGCACTTCTGGGCAAAGTACTTCCCGATGACGTTAGCCTTGTCGTGGCTTTTGGTGCATTCCATGCCATCGGGGTCAACCAGGACTGGGATGGAGCTGTCCCGGCCATGCCCTCCAACTCGTTTAATCACGCTCCACCACTCTCTGTCCTGCAGGTTGCCCGTCCGGAGCCGTTGCTTGACATGGTCGAGAGGTCTGGCTTTGGCTCTTGCTAGACATCTTGTTGAGTCAAGGGATGCTAGCTTGTACGTACACTGGAGCGCTCCATTTCTGGGGTCATCGCGGAATTTCCGCCAGGCATTGCGCTTTCTGTCAACTGCTGCAGAGCATTCTGGCGTCCACCAGATTGGGTCCTGCGGTCTGGTCTTGAAGACCTTGGATGGTATAAAGCGTTGCATTCCCTCAGTGATTCGCATGGTCAGAAGCTCACATGATATGTTAGGGTCGTCGCCGATTATTGTGTCCCAGTCAGTAGTCCGGAGGAAGGCAGAGAGGCGGGGCCAGTCAGCCGGCTGGTATCGCCATACTGTACGAGTGGTGGGTTGGTCTACAGATGCAGTAAGCTGGAAGTCGGCTATGACAATAGCATGGTCTGATCTGCCAAGAGGTGGTTGGGTGGTGGTAGACACAGTTCCAGGCACATCTGACATGACGAGGTCAAGGATGTTTTCTCCACGAGTGGCTGAGGTGACGTGTTGTCGGAGACCATGTACACAGCACATGTCTTCTGCAGCTTCTCCAGCAGCCGAGGTGCGTGGACTTCCAAGCCATTCCCGGTTGTGGGCATTGAAGTCCCCTGCCACAATAATGTGTGAGCAGGACTGCCGGGCTTTGTCGATGTCAGATTCCAGCTGGGTGAAGATACTGCAGTCGCTGTCTGCACTCGTCCCAGGTCTGTAGGCAGCACAGATGCCAAATTTCATGCCTGACGGTGCAGCAACACTAATCCAAAGAGTTTCACACTCAGAGTTGATGTCCAGTTGTTTGTACGCCATCCCTTCTTTCAGCCATATGGCGACTCCGCCGCCTTGCGCTGTCCGGGCTCGACGTATTGGGGGGTAATAGCCAGGGATTGAGACTTCCGCAACTGAAGCCTTGTCAGGCGATAGTTTGGTCTCGGTGACGACAGCGATGTCTACATGCAGGCTTTTCAGAGTATGCTGAAGCTCATCCATTTTGTTGTAAATGCTGAATGCATTCGTGAGCAGAAGACGGAGTGAGGGGGCCTTAGTTTTCATTGTGACCGTTGGCGTTGTTTGGGTTGGTGCATGGCCTACGTTGGGTGGTGGGCTCGTGGGTCTGTGTATCCTGCTGGGGTGGCTGCGCACTATGCTGGTCAGCTCGCTTTGCATCCTGCGGCAGCGAATCTGGTGACCGTTCTGCAGAGGAACGTTTGTGGCTGTGAAGGGGGGTTACAGGTGTGCCGGCAGCGGCAGCGGACAGGCCACGACTCGCGCTCAGGAAGTCATTAATTGTGGCGCCAATCCCAAGTTGCTGTTGCTCTTGATCATGCTGCTGTGCTTCCAACTGGTTGGTGCTACTGTCGCTATTGCTGCTGCGGCGACTGCTGGTGCTGCTGCGGTGACCACTGGTGCTGCTGCGGCGACTGCTGGTGCTGCTGCGGCGACTGCTGGTGCTGCTGCTGCTGGTGTTGTTGTTGGCGTTGTTGTTGCTGCTGCTGTTGTTGTGCTTGTTGTGGCTGCTGCTCTTGCTGCTGCTGATGCTTTTGGCCGCATTTGCATTTGTGGAGGTGTGGAATCTCCACGGCCTGCAGTAGAGCGGCCTTGGCCAGAAATTGGCTGACATCACTGTCAGCTTGCAGGTGGCATCAACTGATATCCTGGCGGACACTTTCCCGTTTCCGGCTGTGTGTAGGCTGCATTGGTGGGATTTGACAGGCGTCCCCACGCTTTCGACCTACGGTGTACAAACTCAGTGAGGCTGTCTACCGTACAGTCGGGGCTCAAGTTGCCCACAAAGAACACAGATCGCTTCTTTCTTGGCGGGCCCGCCGCAACTAATTTCCAACTGTCATCCTTGATGACGGCCATGATAGGGTGGCTCTTCTCGCAGTCTGATTGCACAGGTTCAGGATCGACAAAGCCGGGGTCGTCCGTACGGGTACGGGTTTCGTGCTGTGCAGAGCCAGAGGCCACGTCCATCTGCCCTGACTGTTGTCCAGCATCTGCATCGGCTGGGTCGAGCTGGTTTGCTGCTGTAGCTGGGTCAGGCTGGCCCTGCTGGGGAGGACGGTTACGAGGTTTCGTACGGGTACGAGATTTGTCGCCTTGGACTTGGTGCTGAGCAGGGAGTCGTAAAATACCGGGAGGCGACACGCCACACATTTCACGATCCGAGGATCCATAGGATTGCTGCACTCGACCCGCGAAATTTGATGCGTGATTGAAACGTCGTCGTCATCTTCTTTTTCTCAATTGTTTTTGCTATGCTTCGAGGCCTATTCTGGATCTCCAGAGCGAAAGCTGGTTGTTTCTGATACGTATCACGCATTACCTTAGGTTGAGCCGTGGCTTTTAATTTTTTTTTGGAAGTTCACTGCTTTGGAGACGACGGAATGTCAAGGTAAGTTATTCACGAAATGTACTCAAATTTGAATTGAGTAAGTGCGAATGACACCCTGTTTTCGGAATAGTTCTCCACTGAACACACCATGCCCATGGCCCCTTCATGTTGTCCAAGTTCCATTCTAGGTTTGTGTGAAGTTTCGAGATGAAGTTCGAGGATGTACTCACCTTTCCATGGAAGGGAAAAAAGTAGCATATCAAACAGAATCCATGCAGCATTTGATGCCACTGTCCTCATTCTTCTGCATTCAAAGTGTTTCACATTATTGTCCATGAACTACACACAATATTTGTCATTTCTTAACTGTTCATAGCTGTTCATACTTGAAGTAACTGTGTTCTGAACACATTGCCTTCAGGAAACGTAAGGCCGAGTCGCCTGACCGACTGAGCAAAGTTCTCTGCGACGAAAGTCACACTATCGGCAAATGCACTCAAGGCGAATACCTGTGAATACCCTGTATACTGCTTGATCCACTTATCACAGAAGCATACACACGCACGCACACACATACCATGCATACGCCCGTCGCAAGAGAAGAACGCACGTCTGCAAATGCACTGGATGTGCAACCACAGATTTTCTCTTATAGCAACGATAGCGAACAAGATCTGGATGAGACAGATCAAGACCTGCACCAGATAACTGTATAATCCACACAACTGGCAAAGCCATGTGAATCGACCACCAATGCACAACGCACATACACCTTTGGACCTTTGGATGCCCATTGCTCCGTGCAATGATAGCATCAGGAGTTGCAGTATTTCCTGTGGCGAGTTAGATCATTGGGCCGACGCTGAAGTCCCTGCCACAGCCGCAAATGAACACTCTAGGCTTTGGCACAGCCGCACACATATACACACACACACACACATACACACACGCATGCTCGTGCAACATTCACATGTCACTGCTTCAGTTGTTTTTAGCTGTGTCATATTGTGTCTTATACAGAGCTTCACTTTGGGAAAAGCTGTTGAGATGCTGGAGAGCACTTGTTGCCATGCTTGCGAAATGCCAGCACCGTTGCATGCCTTCAGCTGGCACACTTCCTGGCGTAGCAGATTTCCAAAACCTGATGCCTTGTGTAACTGTGTCCTGATAACATGCAGGAATGACGCCATCGCCTGAGTAACACTCGCCTGTCTCATTGTCAGCAGTTCGCAAATTCCATGGATTATTTCACCTTCCATAGGCCTGTACACCATGGTGGCACTGCCACTCTTACATGGATCTGCACATAGGCAAAGCAAGGGTTGAGGGCGGAGGTTTATGTCAACAATTTACGTACTAGGTAAACACGTAATTTTCAGGACACGAATAAAATAATATCCTGTCACAGGTTCAACACTGTCACATGTCATAGTGAACAGACAATGCACCGTGGGCAGACTTCCATTTTTCGGGTGAGTTTGGGGCGCTTAGTATGCTACAGATTATACATTCGTGTTCACAAGGACAAGACGAGACCAAAAAATGCAGACGAGAGAATCTCACCAGTAGTCCACAGCTGAACATCTCCACAACTCAGGTCACCAAGTGGATACGTGGCGTCATCTACATCTTCCACGGTGGACTCATCACTTTGGCAGGCATCTCTGTCAAGCTCCATCATCCTTTACCCCGTCAAGGCACAAACTTAGAATCACCAAATCAACTGCTGACACTCGGACGATTCCTTGGGGGCAGGATTATTTTTTTGGTTTTTGGGACCAAACAGCGAACGCGTCCTTTGTGCATGACCTGCGCCGCTTTGACCTCATGGGGATTCTATATTTTCCCTCAGCACTCGTGCCCGAGCTGAGTCAATCATCCGACGCGGTTGTGCATCTCGTGTCGCCTCCCGGTATTTTACGACTCCCTGGTGCTGAGTAGATCGTGAAGGGGCCTTGTCGGGAACAACAATGGCGGATTTCTGCAGTGAACAAAATTCCTCACGTAGGGCTAGGAGCTGCGTGGAGAGATCGTCTACACGCTGATGGAGACGACCCTCACGATCCCTCGACTCGCTGATATGAGACGCCAGGGTCTGCAGCACGCTGAGCAGAGTCTGCTCTATGCCCGGGAGGGAGCAGAGCAGTTTCATCGCAGGCTCTCCTGCGAGCTCGCCCATGGCGCAGAGGTTCTCCCTGATTTTGACTGCTTACCCCTACACTACGCTACCCTACTACCCTACACTGCCACTAATACTACTGTCCTACTTCCAGACCGGCCTGTTGCCGGCTGGCCTGTCAAACACTACGGAGCTGAAAAAGTCACAACTGTCCACAGTCAGTGCAGTGCCAGTAGTCATCATAATGATGACGATCATCTCCACGTACTACGTGACGTAGCTTTACCAAACCCTTCGGAACTAATCCACCTCTGCCATCGGCTGAGGTTGTGGAGTTCCGAGGAGTTTCGTTTTTCTGAAGAGACCAATAAGGCCACCTCTTCAGAAAAACGAAACTCCTCGAAAAGTCAAAGCGCGCCCTGAGTGACTGAACCCATCTGAAGCCGATCAGTGTTCCGCACAAGAGATTGCGTTTTTGTCCCGCCACAGACCATTATGGCTTCGCTACGTCACGGTGGTCACACCATCCGTTCATGTAACGATTGTTGAGCAGCACCACCATTCGCGTGAGTGTGACGAAGAACTGCTTCGAAAACGAAACACGACCCGGTCTCTACCCCATGGCGACAGTATTGCGCAGGTCTTGGAAGAGGAGAATGCCTCGCGCGATAAGAACAGAGACAACAGCGGGTTTTCGGCAACCTGGAGGCGGAAATCGTCAAGCTTCTCTGCCTCCGAGATCCAGTGCATGTAGACCTACTGTTGTGGACATGGAAATCCGGTCGCACATCTAGCGGACCCAGGGCGCTGGCCATGCAGCCGTGGATTTGTTTAAAGCAGTACACACATGCACTTATGCGCTGCCGCGCGCTGTCGCATCGGATCAACATGCAATGTATGTACATGACTATGCACTGCACGCAGCGTTCTGTACGCGCTGAGGGCGCCGGCCCCGGTCAATCGACTGGATTTCCATGTGCACTACAGTACATAGGATGTTGTTAGAGCGCGTTCGAATTGTCTTCATCAACTGTTCAAACAAATTTAGAGATTAGTTGAAGTGTCCCATTAGTAGGCACCGGCGGATTATGCCGGCATAATTATTGGCATAATTTGGAGGTAGGAGCATAACTGCATGATTGGATCACAGTTCTAGTATGTAGGCAACACAATTGTGTACAATGCACCTGATCAGTGCTGGTGGTCTGCATGGTAAAGGGTTCGGGGGTCATGCAGATAGTGTTTTCAATGAAAAGCAGGGTAGAAATCATGGGAAACATTTTGTGTGCTCGAACTCGTCTTCTCAAAGTTCTTTCTCACCCTGATACAGTACATGTGGCAGAAGATGCGAGTGAATCAGCCTTTATTATAATTATCAGGTATCCCGGAACGGACGAGATAGTGATGGGTAGTCCGCAAAACTCCGCGTACATGTACACTAAGGTTGTTACGAAGTCATGACGTCTGGATCTTAGCAGCTATGACTGTGCAGGCTTTGGGTACTGCTCTAATAACTAAACAAATTGAGGTATAGTTGATGTTTGGTAATGATGGAAGGAGAGCTGGAGCTACGGGAGAGATGAGCTGATGAGAATTCGCAGGGTTAGGGTGACATCGGTTGGACAAGTATGACGATTACGAAGAAAGTTGAACATGGCAGTTTTCAAAGGTAAGGAAAAAATCTTTCAAAGCAAAAGAAGTCAACTTATGAATAGAAGAAGTAATGTTCTCTCTTTTCCGGGTAGATCTCTAGTATGCATGGACACCTTGGTATGGGGACACTCATGTATTTTGTTGTACTTATGGCCACTTGCAAGTACGAAAAGGCACAATTTTCCAAACTTTGAGGCTCCATAAGCACAACAAAGTGAATATGTATCCCCGCGTGCCAAAGCATAATATGAGGATTTTGGGAGCATAATGCGAGAATCCATGAAAGCATAATTCCATGATTTCGCGGGCATAATCCGCGGGTGCCTACCCATTAGAACGGTTTCTACCATTTTAGAGTTTTTCAGTGGAAACGTCATGGCGATGATGACGTCATGGCGATGATGACGTCCGATCAGATCGACCATCTCCACGTTCTACGTGACGTAGCTATTCCAAACTCTTCGAAATTAATCCACCGGTCCCATCGGATGAGGTTGTGGAGTTTCGAGGCGCTTCACCCGGGAGAATGAAGTTGAAAACACCACTGCAGCTGTACTTATGGCTGATTAATAATTATGGTGATAAAACACACACCTGGCAATATGACGGGCACGAAGCGTGCTAACAATCAAGCTATGGCGTTGCTGTGTCATCTTTCATGTCACATGCGCTATGCCTGATGTACCAGCCTGCTATGTTGGATACCGTCACCATGCATCGACTAGGCGCCAGGTGAGAACTGATGGTCGTGGTGGTAAGAAGGAGAGCGCTGTGCCAGAATATTAGGCTGTTCACAATACTAAATTAAACAGCACCTTGAAATCCGCTTTGCTGCTGCTGCTGCTGCTGCTCTTTCAAATCTATACTCCGTTGCTGTTGCTGCCGCTGTAGTTGTTGCCGTGCAAGCAGCAAGGCAGGTTGCCTGAGTAGTGACAACAACTGAATATATGCAGCATACAAATGATCAAATCACAAGACACAAAAATCTCATTGTTAGTGTTCTCTATGAGATTCGTAGAGCGTATTTATTTTAGTATCATTGCAGTTTGATCAGGAAAACGGGTCAGAGTTGCCGCACTGCAAAACACGTTTATGAAGGCATTGCCGCCCCGCTTCTATCAAGAGCCACATTGAAGGCTCTCGCATTTCTGCCACCACGGTGGCCCGAACAGTGTGCAATGGTAAAAGCAGCGCCAAGCGATCGCAGTCTTTCTGATAAGGACACGATCAAGGCAGATCTGGTAAGCGAATTTTCAGATTTGTTTTTTTATCCCTCGAGCCTTTTTGGCATGCAGGCTACAGGTGTGAAGCACTACTGGGGTGTCGGAGTTGACGGCCCTGCTACGCAAATCAACAAATTCGCGTAACCGGTCTTCAGTTGTCTCCCTGCTGAGGTTACCAACATGAAGTATGAATCGGCTTTAACCGTGACCCTAGATTCACAGTCGTTCTTAACACTAATGTTACCACTTGTTTAAAAACAGTTCTGTTTAAGATAACAAGGGGAATGGGGATGGTGTAACAGTTTCCACTACAACTGCCAAGTAAGTTGTCACCTTCTCATTGCTCTCACCTTTGATACTGTCACACATGCACAGTGTGTTCCCACCACATGCACCGTCTGTTCACACCTTGACACTGCTGGCTCATTTCTCTTGCACCTTCTGATTGGTTCTTAGTTGTGTTCTTCACTTTATAACCTGATGCATGGCATGTTTTGATTGTTTTTTTTTCAGTTAAAACTATCTTAAAACTACATGTACATTTGTAAGTTGGCACTGTTACAGTACCATGTCAATCAGCGATTACCGGTACATGATTTTTCTACCTACTGTCGTTCTCGTTGTTTTTGATGATGTTGTTGGTGGCGTTTCATAAACTCTGTCAAAATGGTAGCGTCAACGATGGATGGCAAAAATGTTCGTTATACTCCATCTACTTATAATCAAGTGGCGTGCTCCACTGTCCGAAGAGTGCTCATTACTCATAGAGGGCAGAGCCTTGTACACAAGAGCTAAGAGAGAGATTTGAAGCTGTGTGGCAACTCAGAGTTTCATGTTAAAATTAGGATCGTCAGGCAAATGATGGCTCCAAAACAAGGAGCCTGAACATAAGGGGGGGGGGGCGAGGTGAGAAAATAATGCTGAGGGGAATAATAGTGCCCGAGTCAGCTGCAGGCGAGAAGTAAGTTGCTAAGTCTTCAGACTTGAGCTATGCAGCAGCAGTTCTGGTATGAATTTAATTGATTAGAGCCGGGGACGGAAGTGCCAAATCCACACATACTCATACACACATAATATTCTCTCACTCTTGCACACACACTCTCACGCACCCACACTCTCTCCTTCTCTCACATACACATACAGGCACACCAACACTCACGCGCGCACCCACACACACACAATCATTCTCTAAATCTCTCTCTCCCATACACATACACGTGCGCACACACACATGCAAGCACACACACACGTCCTCTCTCACTCACACACTCACACGCACACCCATAACAAAAAATCCTGACACCAAGAAAAGGACAAGGTAGCGATAAACATATTGGGCTATTAACAAAAACATTGTTTCTCTGAATGAACTATAGAGCTGAAGCTGCTGGTGAACAAGCTGGCAGTGATATTGTTGTTGCTGCTGCTGCACTGCAGCAATATGCTGCGCCATCATTTGTTGCTGCCGCTGCTGCTGCAATGTCCATTTTGGGGTTAGCTGAAGAAAAGAATAAAAAGGGGTAGAATCAGGAGGATCAGTATCGTACAACTTTATCTTTGCACAGGATCCTCCAAAACACTTAGCTGACATTGCAACACTGACCTACAGCATGCATTCTACACACAGTAGAGAATAACAGTGCCATCGTAAATATACCTCCATCTGCTTTTTCCTGCTACCGTTGTTCTCGGTCTTGCTGCTGCTGCTGTTGTTGTTCTCGTTGTTGCTGCTGCTGCTGCTGGTGGTGGTGGAGTTTCATACACTCCACCAATAGGTAAGCATCAAACATGGCTGGAAACATCATCATATACTCCTCCTACATAATAATTTAGACAAAGAGAAAGACCAAGGAACTACAAGTTACGCTATACTGTCCACTAACACCACCAGTTACTAAACAATCAGCTCATGCGATAACACTGCATGACACTGACCGACGGTACTAACGTTCTACAACTAACTGGCTAATACCTCTAGCACATCTTGGATGCGCACTCCAACAGCCTTCCAACTTGGAAGGTTCTAAGTTATAGAAATAACATAAGGAGAGGAAGGTGAGCGCAACCAAGATAAGCACGAGCTGAAAGTCTCAGCTGTGAGGGACGTTGGCGGATGTTCATGCATGTCGATGACGATACTGGCAATATCATTGGACAATACGGTCAAACCACGATTCAGGAGCGCAAAGCCACATTCCACACAACTTGTGTGGCTCAAAAGATGCGAAGATCAATAAAAGGGAAGCTATGCGAACAAGAATCATGAAAAAACCGAACGCCTCAGTAAAACAGCACGGTACTTCGACTATGACAATTTAGATGGACAATAAGCAGCAGTTTCACACGAAGATCGTTTCGCCGTATAGATAAAGACGGCTCATCAGGTGTGCAGGAATGGACTCAGATGGAGAGCCAAGGTGTAATTTATACAAAGAGAAAGACCAAGGAACTACAAGTTACGCTATACTGTCCACTAACACCACAAGTTACAAGATGTGCTAGAGCTGTAAGTAGGTTAGTTGTAGAACGTCAGTACCGTCGGTCAGTGTCGTGCAATGTTATCGCATGAGCTGATTGTTTAGTAACTGGTGGTGTTAGTGGACAGTATAGCGTAACTTGTAGTTCATTGGTCTTTCTCTTTGTATAAATTAAACATTGGCTCTCCATCTGAATCCATACATAATAATTATTATGTATAAAAATTTTATAAGAGAGGACCACAATTTTTTAATTTTATATTTTGGCTCTCCATCCGAGTTGAATTTACAAATGTATAAATCAGAAAAATCAAATCAATCAAATTTCACAACATTGTCATTGCTAGTGTCATTGCTACAGCATATTTTAGTGCTAGGAAATACTTTTGTGAAGTGTTCTGAGAGATTATTTCAAATGGTGAACGGTACTATTCGGCCAATAAAATCTAAGGAGGAATTTCAGTATCTACCTGCAACCCTTCCTTGGTTGGTGTGTGTAATGGCTACCGAGGGTAGCAGTGAGTCGGCTGTGAGAGCGCATGGAGGAGAGGAAGAGTTCTTGTTCTGAGAGAGATCGTTTAAATTCATACATAATAATAATAATAATATTTCCTGAACATCTAGAACGTTTCCACCTTTCTCCGTCTTCGAGTCCCAGGAGACCCAGCAAACTGAGCATTATCTATCACGATGTACGTTTTTCATCTTTGTTTTTCCACAAAGCCAGCAAACTATGTGTATAGATGGGAACAACCACGGTCAGTTACTGTTACGTACTGGCAGATGTGAAAGAAAATGATTAATTGAAAGAGGAATGGGGTAATTTCAAATTTGGAAAGAGCAGTACGTGGCATGTGACCTCTAATTTCCTAAAAACTTAGGAATGGGGTACTTAACTTGGTTCAGTACGTTGAAGCGAACTATCAGAAAACGAAAATACTGACAACCCCACGAGAACTGGTATCCGGTCAGCTAGGAGCATGCCATTTCGTCACCAGTAGCCATTGGCGGACTATGCTCGGCCAATCGTCAAATTATGCTTTTGATTATGCCACAATTATGCCAACAAATATGCTGAAATATGCTCGGTTCCACTATGTATTCACGCTGTACATAGAGGATTGAGAAACCACGCATACACACACGCGGCCCCAGGGCTTTCTGACAAGGCTGTATTATGCCCTAAGCATAATAATTTTTGTCTAAACCGAAAGATTATGCCGACCTTACACGTTCGAATCCGTATAATTATTATGCCGGAGCATAATTTTTTGACAAAGCTGTATTATGCCCTAAGCGTAATTTTTGTCTAAACCTAAAGATTATGCCGACATTACACGTTGGAATCCATATAATTATTATGCCGGAGGACAAAGCTGTAGTATGCCCGAAGCATAATTTTTGTCTAAACCGAAAGATTATGCCGACCTTACACGTTGGAATCCATATATTATGCCGGAGCATAATTTTTTGACGAAATCCCAAGATTATGCCAAATATTAGCCGGCATAATCCGCCAAGGGCTAGTCACGTGACGTTTCGAGGTGGTCAATTGATCCAGTGACAATTCGCGACTGTGACCAAGCCCGAAATGCAATGTTCCGCCAGCTAACTTGGCCGCACAAGAAGCCTGGCATCGTTGTTTTCTCCAGCCCAGTGAATTGTCGCTATACTAGCATTTGCAGGATCATCACAAGCGGAAGACTTGAGAGCGCAGCGCATCACAGCGTCAGAAACACTTGACCGCGCGTCATGCACCTCCAACCTGAAAAAGGGGTTTGTCGATATTAGTGCATTTTAAACCATTGTGTAAATTATTGCATTTTAAACCATTGTGTTAATTTACCGGTAAAAGAGGTTTGTGGATCGTGCCTGGAAACTGCTTTGCCTAGTCCAAAGATATGATGACGAGCAACCACTCGTTGTCTTCCTGAGGGGCATCGCACATAATCTTGCTTACAACCTAGAGGAGTAAATTCTGATGAAGGCCTGACCGCACATTTTGTAACACTTTTGAGTCATGTTCGGAATTGCATAAACGTTTCACTGTGCATGTTGGCACTAGCTGGTAAGAAGACAAGAATTCGGCGAACTCCTCTGTAGTGTAGAGGAGAAAAAACCCTCTCCTAGTTGGTAATCGCCTAAATAGTAATTCGCCCCAAGTGTGTCTGTCGAGAATTGTCCAAGCCTCGACGTAGTTTTCGACCAGTCGAAGGCAATGAAATTTGATGCTACTCACAGAATGGTTTTCAGCGTACTGACCTAGAACCCATGCAGTTTTCGCTTTTCTGGCAGCTCGCTTCCCCTAACTACATGTATTTGAATTAAATAATAGTTGAATTTGAGAAAGAACGTGTCGCAACTCACCTCACAGGTAGCATAAGAGAAGTATGTGCATTCCATGTCCTTGAAAATCTGGCCAATGGGGTAGCTCGCATGATCTAAGTTAGGCATGGCGAACATTTGGGACCTGAAGCGACAATATTTCAAAAAATGACAGGAGTTTGTGGTTACTTTTACAGAATATGACATTGGGTAGGCATGAAAAGTTGAAAACATATGCCTAAAGAAGCCTCTTTAGCTAAGAACCCCTTCTGCAGTTGACAAGTGCCCCTGGTATTCAGTGTTGACGCACCCCATGACGGCGTGTGCTGCTTGATAGACCAGTATAACGGGGCAATGTAACTAGTATAAACACGGATGTGGTGGCTCCGCCAAGCACACTCAAACCTGGCAATGAAAACAGAACTCACACTCTTTGGATGATATCCCAACGGTTACCCTTGGGATAACATTCATGCCAAGGTTGATTCGCCACAGGTGGACAAACGCAAACGTCCAATAGAATGAGCCCGATACCAGACCAGTATAACAAGGCAATGCAACTAGTATTACACTACATGTGGATGCTTTGCCAAAAAGACTCAAAACCTGTCAATGACAACAGAACTAACACTATGCGAATGGTATCCTGGCGACGAGCAACGGAAGAATACTGATGCCAAGGTTGATTCGCCACAGGTGGAGAAACTTGCCAACAACTGTCCCTAAAAAGAACCGAAAGCATCATTATCAGAGGAAACATTACATTGTCCGAAGCTGTTAGTAAGTACGACTTCGCCAGGGACATGTCACTAAAAGGTGTTCATGATAGAAGTATGAGGTGGAAAAAAACCCCAGAATACTACTATGCTTCTCACACGGAATTGGTAAACCAGCGATGCTCAAAGTAAGAGGATGAGTTTGGCACAAAACAGGATAACACTGGTGTTAAGTGCTTCCTCTGCAAATAGCAATGAGGCACAATTCTGAAGGATCAGAAAGAAACGAAATTCAGTTCACTTGAGAAGTAGAGACAGGTGCACACGCACAGTCCCATAGCTAAGAATGGAAAACTTACATTTGATGCGTGCTGCCTTGGTTAGCCATGGGGTGAGAAATTGGCTGTTGCATATTGCCAGCACCAACTTGACCCACAGGCAGCGCAGCATTGGGTAGCAGGCCAGGATTACCACCATGTATACCCGAACCACGAGGAGCTGAACCGATGTGGTTACCACCAGAAGGAAGCATGCCACAGTCCGGCAAACTTTTGTACATGTCTGAAAAATCCTGCAGACCGAGATTAGTGCTAGGCGTTGCACCAGAAGAAGCAGCACCAGAACCAGCACCAACAACATTTCCTGGCGGCGGCAGCATTTCCGTGCTCGGTTCCACTTTGATCATGGAGAGAGCAGCAGCTGTCGCTGGGTTAGCTCCATTCATCGTGCCGCCCTGTGTTGAGTTCCTGGCCTTCTGATGATCTGTACAAAACCCATATAGCTCGGTGTTGAGGTCACGGCATTGGGAAAGGGAAGTCCTTGCTAAAGGTCCTATACTTACTGCTACCCAGGGTAAGATGACAGCCATGGAGTGAAAGAAACTGGAAACCAACATGGAATCAATGATGTTCGGGTTGCGGAGGGTAATGGGTCCACTGTACTGTTACTAACTCGGGAGCTAGCCAAAAAGATATGTTAAAAGACCCTAAGATAACCGATTCGTCCGCTTGTCTACAAGGGTAAGCGTCAGTACAAGACAGACGATTTGTCCGTGGAACAGGAGGCAGGATTAGCAAGGCTAAAGCAAGATATTATGGCCTTGTATAAGAACTATCGCCCTCCACATGTCCCCAATCCGACAGAAGATGAAAAGGCCCCGATTGCATTGCTACAGGAAAGAACGAAGGAAGGCGAAAGAGAGAGAGAGAGAGAGAGAGAGAGAGAGAGAGAGGGAGAGAGAGAGAGAGAGAGAGAGAGAGAGAGAGAGAGAGAGAGAGAGAGAGAGAGAGAGAGGGAGACAGAGTGAGAGAGAGGGGAGAGATGGAGAGATAGACAGAGGTAGATAGATAGAAAGAAAGAAAGATAGGTAGAGAGAGAGAGAGAGAGAGAGAGAGAGAGATGGAGAGAGAGAGAGAGAAAGAGAGAGAAAGGGGGGGGGGAAGAGAGCGAGAGGGGGAGAGATAGAGAGAGAGAGAGAAGGAGGGAGAGAGAGAAAGGGGAGAGAGATAGCGAGTGTGTGTGATTCCCCCGGCATTATTTATAATGAAGTGTGCCCTGTGTCGGAAGTGGTATGTTGGTGAGACATTCAGGGAGACATTCAGGGTCGCAAGAGACCCTTTCGAGGAACACTACTACGAAGCACATCACAGGATGATCACCAGCAGCACGGAACCACCGAGAGCACAGATGTGTTTTTTGGCCCAAGTATTGAATTCTCACTTGACTGACTAACGACTGCCATCCAGAGCACACGAGACGTCAATCGAACCGTTCACTCGGCAAACCTGCAAGAAAGCACCACTCCCTGCTCAATACACAGTGTTTCGGGGAATTCACCCCTCATCAGTTGAGCTTGAGTAGTTTGACGAAGATTGTGCCTGAAGAACACCACTCATATAGTGCTGTCCAGGCACAAACATCACCAGGGATACAAACTTACAGATACGCTCCGTTTCCGGCACGACAAACACCTCGTGAACACCAGATAGCAGCGTGAGTCAGTGTCGCTCATGGAGGTGCTGAACAAGCGCTGAGGACCGTTGGTCATTCATAACGTTGTTGCCTCCAAAAACCATCTAATTGGCAAGCCCGCGCTGGGGACAACAATGTAAAGAAGAGGTTGGTGCGACTGTGGCGATACTTGGAGAATTCTGTGTTGCTCCCTACATGGGAACCTACATAGGAGCTGCTGAGCTGCTGCATACCCTCTCTTTCAGCGCACTTCTCCTTGTCTGTTGTACATGCAAATTCATCCACTCATCCGCGGCTATTGTGTGTTTCGTTTGTTTTGTTCTTGGTGTACATACGCTCTCGCTTGTTTTCGTTAAAAAAGGCCAGGTTCCCCCTTTGTAAATTGTTTCGACGATGGGTGACTGGCCCGAAACGATATTTTTATTTTTTTATTTTTTCGACATCACTAATAAAAGAATTTGCATCCAGCCCATGCGCCAAGAGTGAATAGAAACTAAATAGAGCGGTCGTAAGTTGACAAAACCCCTTTTATTCAGAATACAGTTCATCTATCAAAATCAGACGAGATCATCTACCCATGAACATGATAGTAACACAAGAACGACTTACATAGTCGATAGAGTGGCCGCATTGCACTACAGACATTGCAGTCCGGATATCCACAGATTAACCAGTGTTTGAGCAGCGGGCGCGATGATGAGCAGTGTGCGACTGAAAGGGGTAACGAGAAGGGCAGGATAGACCATTACATCTGACGTAAAATACTGTGAATCCTAAGCACGCACACAACGGAGACGAACGGCCATGTAGCTGTAACCTCATGTGTCACGCATTTGCGCGATCATCAAACAGCAGCATTTGGCATTCGCACATTTCACATTTGGCATGCCGCTGTCTGATGGTCGCTGAAAAGCGTGAAGCTTGAGGCAACCTACTTGAAGTAGTTGCAAGTTGCAACTACAAAGCCAATCGCCTCGAGTGTACAGGACAATCATGTACATGTATGATTGTGTGTACTGCAGAATCTGCCACCTTTTCGAGCAGAATCCGCCGGTCCCTAACTACAGTTAAAGTGATAACACAAGCTATCTATCAGCGTCCGTATAAGCCTAATTTGTGTGCACAGAAAGATAGTATAATTGGGTTGAAATTGATCAAGTAACGTGTCGTGTATGGTGCGGCCAAGCTTGTCCGTTAAGGTAGCAGCCTACCCATAAATTTCATATGGCATTCAATTGAGTGAAATTTTGACCACACACTCCTGCCACTATGCTGGCCCTCTGATTGATTGATTGATTGATTTTTATTTCACGAATCCTCCAGAGGCAAATAGATGCCTATCGAAGGGAGTCTCCTAAGTAAGTATGGAAAATGAGAAAGTATGTTCATACTGGACATGACTTAAAAGTTCTTGCGCCGCACTGACAGGCTTTCCAGGCCGGAAAAACTCAAAATTCCGGCAAAGTGCCACGGTGTGCGAGCCACACAGGAGCCAGACAAATGCATTTACAATTTGTTCACATTTTCGTGCCTATTCTGTCCGTCCGCGGGATCCAAACCTAAAACAAGTCCAGAAGCAGCCATGGGTGGTGGGGTAGGGCCCCTCAACGTGGCCCTGCAATCTGTCACAACGGTACGAGTGGGCGTTCTCTCACCGACTCCCACAGACCCAAGTCAATTTTTTGATTTTTTTTAGGTTTAGGGTGTGCTACGCGGTCGCACCTTTGATACAACATCCAGTGCTGGGACCTCCACAGCAAGCCATTTCCACAGCGCTGCACACCAAACCCAGGAGACCCTCAAAAATCAGCAAAGACTGCCACTCACGTTCCGCTACCGCCTAGTACTGAATCCTACCTAGCTTCTTGACACGACTCAAACTTGCCAAAGTTACTAAATCAACGTCAACTACAATAATCAAGCCGCATATCTGCAACGTCACGAGGGTGCTGGCAAAAGTCCTGCTGCACGGCGGCAGGCTTTGCTCTCCGACCAATGCGTGATTTTTTGGACTTTTTGGACTTGGAGCAAAATTCTGCACACTTTCGCGTGTTTCCATAATACGACAAGTTGCGCACGGTCTGCTCACATTCAAATACAGTGCTGCCAACAAATGACAGCGTGCAACAAAAATATACTTTCCTTGCAAGGGCACATTTTCGGCCATAACTCTTGAACGGCTGGTCAGATCGGGATACAATTTTCAGAGAATTTGCAGCTATTTATGCTCTTTCAACTGACGTAGCACTCAATATGAATTTTTGGGTAGTCTACTAGTCTGCCACCTTAATGTTCTAGGTGAAATGTACAGCTGTTATGTGGTGTCCCTTTGTCCTTCCTTCTTTCTTTCTCTTGTTTGTTCATTTTTCCATTTGCAAGTCTATTGTTAGCACACGCATTCGTAATTGCTCTCGCTTTGATTGTTAAATTTCACACTTGTAAATTTCACTGCTGTTGTTCTTAGTGTTATTTCTCTAACTTAGATTTTCTATAATAGTTCAATTTTGTTTCAGTGTCCTTTAGTACAACGACGATTCCTGATGAGTGTTGTATGAAAACTTGTTTGAATCCATATTTTTCTCTACACCATTTCTTCATATTTTAATCGTTTTATTACACATCGTCTCCACCGTTTTTTACATTGCATGAATAAAGTACACAAATGTCGGTTCAGCTAATTTTATTGATTGCGGTTATCAAATTATTGTCTCCTCGCCGTTTGTTTAAATAATACTTGTAATTAATCGACGCGGAGACAACAATTTTATAATAGCTATAAAGAGAACAAATTCTGCTGTCATCGCCACACTACAACAAAGTCATGAAGGTTTACCAAAATCTCTCAGCAAGCTCTCTTGCTCAGCTGGTGACGAACACTATAATACCCGCTGCTTTGGGCTTGCAGCCCCGTCTCCCCACCTTAGACTGATCGAAAGGCTGTCACGGTCCTGTGACCATACCTGGAATCTACATCTACAGCTGGTTTTGACTTCCAGCCATCCTTCATTAGTCATGCTTGTGACTATCATGCCAGCAAGTCGATCAGCAGCATCACCTAGCATCTTTGATGGTGAGGCCTGCAAAATGTCACGGACCAGTGACGATGCTGGAAAAGGGCACCCTACCAGAGCTGGCGCAGTGAATGGTGCAGTCTCCATCTATACTTATAAAGAAGAGGCACCTGTGACGTGTGTTTGTCTGTGTGTTACGCAGAAGCGCTGCGGAGCAGCTAGCGCTGCCCTGAGCACGCGAAGCGTGCGAACAGTGTAGCTAGCGGCCGCAGAAGCACTGAGCACGCGAAGCGTGCGAATCGTGTAGCCACCACTACGTGCTGAGCACGCGAAGCGTGCGAACATGTAAACAGTGTATCTAGCAGACACGATCAGTACGAGTAGCAGTAGCAGCCGCGAAGCGTGCGAATCGTGTAGCCACCTACCCTAGGCCATAGGTAGCACTAGCAGCCGCACAAGCGCTGCGGACCACGTGAACCGTTCTCTGCAAATAGAAACATCTGCAAAAAAAGGATACAAAAGATCTGCACTGACTGCACTCTGCATCTGATCTGCAGTGAAGAGCGCATCGTGCAGCTACCTTTTCCACGGACCACGTGAACCGTTCTCTGCAAATAGAAAGATCTCCAAAAAATGATACAAAAGATCTACAGCTTCCTTTTCCACGTGAACCGTTCTCTGCAAATACAAAAAACTTGAAGACTTGACCTAGGCGACGCTTTGCACTTTTTCATGTTTTGAGCCGCTTCATTCGCCACCAGGTGATGGACAACCCTGAGCACCAGGACTTCAGCGGTCTGGGAAAAGACGCCGCCGGTCCTCATCAATAACGTCGTCCGACGATGAAGAGGCCATTGCCCGCAGACGCGAACAAGCCAGGGTTCGAATGCAGAGGGCAAGGTCACAGGAAACTGAAGAACAGGCTGATCGCCGCAGACTTCTAAATCGTCGACAAACTGCTGCGACACGATCTCAGGAGACGCATGAACGAACTCTGGAACGTAGAGACCGTGACTGCCGCCGAACTGCTGAGGCACGTTTGCATAAGACACCTGAGCAGGCAGACCATCGCGGAAGTCAAAGCCGTATGCAAGTTGCCAGAGCGAGGTCACTCGAGACGCAAGGGGACACGGAGGTACGAAGAAGCCAAAATACTCAGCGGGTGGGAGCACCCCCCCCCCCCCCCGATGAAAATGCATCCGCCACAGGGCCAGATCCCCACGAACAGCCTATGGTCACTACTAGAGCAGGTGAGCGTACTGGTAATTTCACCCGTAACATACAGACCATTAAACCAGATATCTGGGGTAAACTGGGCTTCCATTACGACAGCAACTTGGACTATCCCACTCACAGGTCCATCACATTAGATGGCATGAACGTCCTGTGTAAGCATTGCAAGGCCAGAACGTGGAAAAATGAGCCGCCAGGTATATGTTGCTCAAGTGGAAAAATTGATCTTCCAGACTATGCAGAGCCACCTCAGCCGCTCAAAAACCAGCTTTCTGGCCTTCCCAATCCAAGCACTTCCTCCAGAGCATTCGCAAATACAACAGTGCATTCCAAATGACATCATTTGGTGCGAATGAGCAGAACATGGACGGCTTCATGCCAACGTTCAAGGTGAAAGGGCAAATCTACCACAGACTTGGGTCAATCCTTCCCCCCGCAGGCGAAGAGCACAAGTTATTGCAAACTTATTTCATGGGCGACAGCGAGCGAGAAACTAGCAGGCGGTGCGAAGTTATTCACAACCTCCACCACGTCACTGTTGCTGACCTGCAGGCGATGCTCCATGCGCACAATCCGCACATCGTCAACATCAAGACGGCATTGGATATTGGCAATGTCCCAGACTTGTGACTGAAGTTGAGCGCAGACCAAGCACCACAAGGTGAACACCCTGGTCGCTTCAATGCACCCACGGTCAATGAAGTTGCCGTTCTGATAGCAGGCGATGCGCATGAAAAGAGGGACATTGTACTGCGTTTGAGAGACGAGTCTGTGAACAGGATAGCGGACACACACAGGTCATACGATTCCTTGCAATACCCTTTGCTGCTGCCGTATGGCGAAGATGGCTATCACTTCCTACATAGGCAGGTCAATGCGCAGACCCGTGTTCCGACGAGCAAGAAAGTGACAGCGAGTGACTTCTACGCGTACAAACTGATGGTCCGCAATGACTCCTTCAACACAATCCTCAGAGGTGCTCAGTTATTCCACCAGTACATTGTTGACATGTATGTGAAGATCGAATCTGAACGTTTATCCTTCATTCGCTTCAATCAGGCCAGTCTCCGAGCAGATAACTACGTTCATTTACGTGACGCCATCAGCAATGACGGAAATCCTGCAAACGTCGGTCATTTTGCCCGCAACTTTCACTGGCGGCCCACGATACATGAAAGAAAAGACTCAAGATGCAATGACGTATGTTCGAGAGCGCGGCAGGCCACAGCTTTTCATTACCACCACATACAATCCTAAGTGGCCCGAGATAGCTGCAGAGCTTTTTGACGCCCAGTCACCGCATGCCAGAAACGACCTCATCGCACGTGTCTTCCGTTTGAAATCAAAGTTGTTCATGGATGTCCTGACAAAAGGCGAATTGTTCGGCCCGAGCACTTGCAACATGCACACGATAGAGTGGCAAAAGAGAGGTTATGGAAAGACCCTACTGCCTCCTGGTCTCGTTATCGTCCAGTGACAATCGACATTCTTTGTTACGTTGGGACTGTAGCTTGTGCTCGTTTTCGTTGCGCTTGCCTTCCCCTCTTTGGTCTTTCCATAACCTTGAACCTTCCAAGTTGGAAGGCTGTCGGTTAGCGCTACGGAGATGTGTTGAAGCCAGGTGTCAGGACGTCGAATGTCTCAGTACTCTGTCAGTTTTGTGCCTGGTTGTTGCACTTTCTGACTGTATCTAGTTACAGTGGTGGAGAGTTACTCTTAACTCGTTTCCATATGTCCTTTTCCTTTCTACTTTTATTATTGGCTCAATACCCGAGTTTCAAATACTATACTACTACTATTACTAAGCTTGGTATATGGGTGTGACGTGCTGCTGCTCATCAGATTCGGTCCATGCGACTCTCGTGTTTTTAGTTTTGTTATTTTGTCTGCCTTTTTTGAATTCGTAAAACAAACGGACTAAACTATCCAGTAATCAGATACTGGTGTGGTGGGGCGAAGTTTTGTTGGTGATGCTGCTGTCAGTGGTGGCGGCGTGCATGTGCTCGTGCTTGCGGGCGATGGCCCGCGTTTTCTCCCATGCCGCAAGTTTGTCTTGCGTTTGTGTTTTGCATTTGGACTTCCTGCCAGGCTTGGAAGGCTTGCATTTCAGACAGTGTGTCCCACGGTGTGCTTCCCAGTCTTTGAGCGGTGTACATCCACCTCTGGAGCTCCAGAGAATTTTGGGCCCCGGCCCCTGGCAGTAGCAGTGCATTCCATGGCCAATTTGCAAGTGTGGCAAAAATGTTCAGGGTGTATTTGGTTTCATCCACATTGAGATGAAACATTGCCAAAATGGATTCAGTATGATCTGCCACACGATACTTCGTCCGTCCACTCCTTGACGCGTATTTCTCTCCTCCAATACGACAACACGACGACAGGATGCTAACATGAGCCTCCATTTCTGAACAAAATAACATCTCTAAAATGCGTTGCCCATACACATTATTATTATTATTAATTCAACATCTCCTGGCTCGTCAGAAGACTGCCAATATATATGAGAAGTCGGGCGGTAGCCAATAGAAAGTGATGGGGTAATGGCATGTGATGTCGGACTTACCCATTGTACATTCTGGTTGTTCTAAATGTCAGTTCTGAGAAGTATGATTTGTCCATTGCTTGTCATCCGTTAGAACATCCTGAATGGCGCGCAGTGCACTCAAATGATTGCTTTTTCTATTTTGTCACCTGCATGCAGGGCGAAATTGTTGAATGTTTTAGAAGCTGTTTATATTCACAGCAAGAAACCCAACTTTTGTAAACAGGAGCAGATTGGATGCACGATTAGGTTGTGAGGGTGGTCGTCAACAACACGTTAGTTTTGTCCATTTGTTGTCTGTTTTTGTTGCACTTTACTTCACGCATGCTCGGCTTACTCACGTGACTTGCACCTTGCACTTACCTTCACAAGCTAGACCAGCCTGGCAGACACGCAGATGGGTGAGGACGTCTTTCATCATCTTGCAGTTCGGTATCCCGCAGATGGGCCGGTTGCCAGCAGTCTCAAGAAGCTGGCACGTCTTTGCGTGCACAATGAGGAGGAGATGTTCCCTAATTTGGATCATTTTCTCCAGAGAAATTGAAGAAGACATTTTGAACGGAGTGCTGCGTTTGCTGTAGCATGAAATTGAAAGTCAATCCAGTGTAATTCCAACAGAAGAGAAATGCAAATTGAAAAGAGGGGGAAGAAAGAGACTATACACATTCAAAATTATATTCTATGTGTATAGTTAGCACCTTTGAGAACAGGAAACTGCAGACGGGCAAATTTCAGCGCAAGGAAGGAGGGAGAGAAAACTGCATTCCTTCCATCGCGTTTCTAAACGAATATCAATGGCATACTATTAGAATATTCGTTGCAGCCCTAAGTTACAGTAGTTCATGAGATGAATGCACTGGAAATACTACAAACGTGTGATCTTACCTGTACACCACTGCGTCTGACCTAGGATCAATGCACAAGAGAATACAACAGAGCAGGAAAACGCGACCAGCAAATGCGACCTGAACACAGCAAAGTGACAACACCGACCCAGAGTCGCGTGTTATACTACGTGTAATAGCAGGGATTCGCGGAGGAAAGTGGCAGGCGGAATATAGCTAGCGTGGAGAGTCCGCGCAATCACGGGCCAAGGCTCAACGGGACACCCTAGCCTCCACGACAGCCAGGGAGGCACAGTCATCCATTGGAGGCTGCCAAACTCGGCGAGCCCCACGCAGACACATGACACTGGAACGAAGCAGGGCAACAGACAGCCTGCAGGGGAGGTGAGCAATTAGCACAGAATACGCATCCCTTCCACGTAGCGACTGTAGGTGTGCAATCAGGCTCACCAGTCCAGCCTACACCTAGTACATGTACCCGGTGGTGACTACACAAAACAGGGTGGAGGATCAGCTGTTGAAAACAGTGCTCCACCTTTGGACTTTAGAGTGTAGTAATATAATGACTACAAGACAGTCAAGTGTGTACCACGTGTCCCAGACAATCAAAGTCTTTAAGTTTTAGAGGATCGGTCATCACAGCCACATGGTATGGACAGTCTACACTATAGCACGTGGCAAGTAATCGGCAGTATAGTACACGTCAGGTCATTATATCCTCACAAGTAATCGGCAGGACACGTCAGGTCTTTATATCGTCACAAGTACTACATCAGTTTGAAACACTTTAGAAAGGCAGCGACAATCGACGAAACTAATCGACAATCGACGAAACTAATGATTAGTTTCGTCGATTGTCGCTGCCTTTCTAAAGGGTTTCAAACTGATGTGAGGACCTATAGCACGTGGCAAGTAATCGTCAGTACACGTCAGGTCATTATGCTCACAAGTACTACATCAGTTTGAAACCCTTTAGAAAGGCAAGGACAATCGACGAAACTAATTATCAGTTTCGTCGATTGTCGCTGCCTTTCTAAAGGGTTTCAAACTGATGTGAGGACCTAGCAAAAGATTGTAGCGGAATTATTGTCAGCAGAGAAAAAGGTTCTGGTGGCCATTAGGGAGGTTTCGCTCTACGGAAGTACGTATGAAAATGACGTAGGAACTGTACGGAATTTTCATACGTAAAAATCAGAGCTGCTGGGTTTCGTTCTACGTGATTTCTCCACGACTGCTAAACATGCGTTGTTGCTTTGGACACGCGTTGGCTGCATGCGTCCACCGCATGCACCATGAACCGAAACCGCGTTTTCCATTTTATTTTTGCACGTCACTGGTGTACGGTGTGTGTACCTTGTGTTTCGCGCGGCTTGAACGTTGCCATGGACAAATGGGGAAAATGCGAAAAAATATTTCAAAAAGTCCTAAGGAGGACCCAACGTAGGAAAGAGTTTTCCTTCGAAAATCCGTAGAGAGATTTACATAATTGTTAGATTGACAGCATAAAACAAGGAGGAGGACACTGTGTTCGAAAACAGTGACCTTACTACAACCTTCCGCGGTTGGCAGAGCCCCGGTCCCTGCGGACCATTTGAACCATATGGGTATCGCACTCGGTTCTGACCCTCGTTATGCTAGGGGGTTAGGAGACTACTCCTGATGTCGTCTTCGCTCTTTTTTTACTTGTATAAAACTTCTCTTTCTTCTTCTTTTTCTTTCCAACTTCTGCCCATGGCGTCCTTGTCTCAGCTCGTCAGCTGTAAACAGTTTTTGTCATCACCATGACACTGCCGCGAGAAGGTGCTCTCTGTAGACGGGGTTGGTGATGTCCCGACGTGGCCATGGGTAGGCCTTCACCACGTCGGAACACCCCGGCTACACGTTGGTCACGTCAACTACTTATGTTTGTAAATCACTTCGTTGTTGATCTTATTGTTTCCTAAAAAACACTTGAGGGAATTGAGAGTTTTTCTTTTTACACGTTTGGGTACACACGTTGGATGCATTGACGGAAGAGCTAGATACTAACATGTATGTTCAATATTTTGTCGCTGAATTCTTTATGAACCTGGAAACTACATTTTAAGCAATGTAATTTTTTATGCATTATTTATGTGTATATCATAAGAATTTAAAGGTGAGGAAGAAAGCTCTTCTTACGTCTTACCCCTGTTATTAAGTCATGGCGAATGAAGGAGACGCTGAGGTTGTCAGTTGAGGTAGCGATCCATCGTCAATACATTTCTTAACCTTTTTTCAAGAAAACTACCTGGAAGGACTGCACTCAATGCATTCAGCTACTACTAGTACTAGTAGTTTCAGAAGAGCTACCTGGAAGGACTGCACCCAATGCATCCAGTGCAGCTACTAATAATTTTTAATTTTAAATTATTATGTGTGTCGTGCAACTGCGTGCGTTTGGTCTTTACAAGCAAGCGTGGTTAGCTTATCAAGATTGGGAAAGGTGAGTGACGCAGAGTTTAAAATGGATGCATACGTACATAGTGAGTAACTGGTCTTAAATGTAGATCACATAGTAATGTTGTGCGGTACATGACACTCAAGGCTGCTAGCTTCACTCTCATAATTATTATGTGCAACATCACTGTATGCTCAAGTAATCTAGTCAATGGACTGTAACGATGTCATCTGTGTTGGTGTGTAGGTAGGTAGGTACATTTTTATTTGAATTCGCAGAACCAAACGGGCGGTGTCGCCCAATTACATGGAAGCGAATGGAAACAGTAAAATCTTTACTTATAAAAGAGAGGCACCTGTGACGTGTGTCTGTGTGTGTGTCACGCTCCTTATAAAGAAGAGGCACCTGTGACGTGTGTATTTGTGTCACGCTGCCCTGAGCACGCGAAGCGTGCGAACAGTGTAGCACAGTGACAGTGTAGCTAGCGGCCGCAGAAGCACTGAGCACGCGAAGCGTGCGAATCGTGTAGCTAGCGGAAGCAGCCACAGAAGCACTGAGCACGCGAAGCGTTCGAATCGTGTAGCCACCACCACGCGCTGAGCACGCGAAGCGTGCGAACAGTGTAGCCTGTAGGTACGGTGGCATGGTAGCGCTTATACTTATAGCAGACACGATCAGTACGATCATATATGTATACGAGTAGCAGTAGCAGCCGCGCGCAGAAGCACTGAGCACGCGAAGCGTGCGAATCATGTAGCCACCTAGCCTAGGCCATAGGTAGCACTAGCAGCCGCACAAGCGCTGCGGACCACGTGAACCGTTCTCTGCAAATAGAAACATCTGCAACAAAAGGATACAAAAGATCTGCACTGACTGCACTCTGCATCTGATCTGCAGTGAAGAGCGCATCGCACTTTTGTTCGTAAGTTTATGAATTTTTTGACCCGCTTCATCCGCCACCAGGTGATGGACAACCCTGACCAGCCTCCCGAAGGCGTAACAGACGTCCCTCCTTCTCCTTCCAACGATGAAGAACCTCCCTCACCAGGACTTCAGCGGTCTGGCCACCACCACGTGCTGAGCACGTGTGCTGTTCATGTAATTGCTTCACCCGGTACCCGCATGCCACATTCGGCCAGGCAACGCTGGCGGGGGTGCTGCTAGTATTGTAGGAAATAGCCTAACATGATAGCAGGGTGTAGTACAAAGCAAAGAACGCTCAGTCAATGAATAACGTTAACGTTAGAATACAACAACGGGGAGGCGGTAAACAGCACATGACTGGTACTATGGAGTACCGCAAACGTTCAAAGGTTCCTGTAGTGTTCAGTAGTGGGTGCTACTGCTAGCAAGACAGAACGAGAGGCAGGCTTGTTTGAACTGGTGGTACTGGGTAATACCACGCACGTCGGATGGCAGGGTGTTCCATAAAATGGACCCGCGAGCGGTTGGACGGTCGTGGCTGGCTTTGGAGGCAGATTTGGGCACTCAAAGGCCCAATCTGCGGTGCGCGCGCGTTGTTCGAGTACTGGGACGCTCCAGAAGGGCTTGCAGTGCATTGCTTGCCCGACCATTCGAGCAACGCCTGATCATAATACGGGTCTTTTGCTTGTGGAGCTCTTCGATGCCATACAGCTGCAGACGAGCAAGCAGAGGTTGGGCGCTTCTGCGAGGTGGCAGGCCGAACACGGCGCGTGCCGCACGGTTTTGCTGAACCTGAAGGCGGGACCGCTGGTCTTGTCGAAGGCACCCAGAGAACGCCACGGACCCGTAGAGCAAATCTGGCATCACAACGGATTTCACGTACTGCTCTCTGGACTTTCTTGTAACTAATGTAAGACAAGGGCGGGCTCTCCAGAGTGCTCCCACCTTCTGCGAGGCCTTCTTCACAGCATTGTTAATGTGTTCGTCAAATCGAACGTGCTCGTCTATCGTGATGCCCAGGTACTTCGCATGGGGAACTGCTGGTAGCGAGTTTCCACGCCATTTGACAGTAATGTCTTGGCCGGAAATTCGAAGGACATGGCTTTTGCTAGTGTTCAGGATTAGATTCCGTTCCTGGAGGTGGTTAGCAATCTCGGTTGTAGACGTTGCGAGAACTCGCGATACTTCATGGCAATCAGGGTGGCTGAATGTGAGAGCAAAATCGTATGTATGTAGTTACCTGGCCAAGTGGTGACAAACAAAAGTCGCGTCACCTGCACTTGTGTTTCCAGTGGCAGCAGCATGCATGCAGTGAACACAGTTGCAGCATCATTTTGACTGAGGAGCGCGCGAGCGAGACTACTAAATTTATTTCAAATAAACTGCTACTTGTCGCCGCGCCGAGTTTGTAATTTTCGCTTTGTAGAGAAGGAGAAGCCGTAGCTTATTTTTTGCTTGGCCACTGCTGTCCCTGTACTGTCGTTCGTCTTTACATGTAGTCGCCGGCCAAGAAGTAATGATGGGTGTCTCTGTTATTTCTATCGCCGCGATCGCTGATTTCTTTACGTTCTGAGACGAACTAACTCTGGGCTGGTTTCCTTGTCCGGCGGCAAGCGAGAATCCAACTCCTATTTCTCAGGTGCTGGTGGACACTCAGCAGGAAAACACTGCACGATGGCTTGAGAGCGAAGGAAAACCTTCTTGAAGTAAAACAAAATTAGGGGGCGTTCGAATTGTCTTCATCAACTGTTCAAACAAAATTTATAAAGAGATTAATTGAAGTGCCCCATTAGAACGGTTTCTAACGAACGGTTTCTATCATTTTAGAGTTTTTCAGTGGAATTGTC